CGAAGTCTGATTGCAGCCATTTTTCAAGTGGCAACTCTCAACTTTCTCGGGCACTTAGGACCATTTGACACCGTAGTTTTTAGCCCTTCTGCCCTAATGAAAGCACCCGGTCCCTTAGGCCTACCGCATGAGTGATTTTGCACAATCGTAGAAATGCATTATGGGAAGGAAAAAGAGCAAACATTGCCCATCCCATTTCCTTCCCACAATGCCTTTCTACCATTATGCAAAATCACCCATGCAGTATAGGCCCTAGTGTAACTATAGTACAGTATAAGGCTTATGGAGATCGCATTGCTTCTAAATCCATGTTTAGTGGAGTAGGCCTAGGCCTCCTACCCTAAATTCGGGCATGCAAATATGCATGCATCCAACTTTCTCGCTGTGAAATTCCTGGGTGAAATTATGCACCAGCGGTAATTAAGTGTGAATGATCGATTGTCACTTCAGTGTTTTTCTTTTTCTGTTGATGATCGATTGTCACTTCGGCGTTTTTCTTTTACTGTTGATGATCGATCGTCACTTTGGCATTTTTCTTTTACTGTTGATGATCGATCATCACTTTGGTATTTGTCTTTTACTGTTGGTGATTGAGCGTGACTTCAGCATTTTTCTTTTTGCAACTAGCCTGCTTTACGTAAGTGCAAATTAAAATCATTTCCAGTGAGAATTCGGGAAAGCGTCTCCAGAGCATAGAGTTTTACTTACTACAAAATTTAGTCAGTTGAAATTGTCTAGAAAACTGATAAGTGCTCGCTTTTCACTCACCATCGGTGTTGGAGGTCCAACACAGGCACTGATGACAACTTTGGTCAACTTTCACCAAGTACTGAGGGCGTTATCAAAAATATGGAGCCTGTAATTGCGCTGCGCACCTTATATTTTGAGATTTCTGTTGCCTACGATGGGTGCAGATTCGATGGCATTGTATTTTGCAACTTTCTTCTAAGTTCTGTTATATTATCCTGATGTATTACTCATAATAATGCTAGTATGACTTATTGAAATAATAAAAATGCATGACTCTCTGTAACTTGAAATGAAATTGAAAAAAATGAAAAACTAGGACAACAAAAAAAGAGACTGATGGAAATTGGGCTGTGGCAAATAAACTTGTTTTTTCCTCAAACTGCATCACAACACCAAAGCAATTAATGCACAAATAATCCCTCATTCAAGAGACATCAACATGCAGATTTTCAGAAGTAGGGCAATACCAATACCCCTCCAAAATGACGTTTGCTATGTAAATGTGCGTGTGCAAATTTTGATGACGTAAGATTTACCACAGCCGATCCCACTCGTTAGCGGACAGCATTGGTGCTGCTTCTTCGGTGACATCCGATGTTCTTTACAATATTATTCTACATATATGTTAGGATTTTATTAAACTTTCAACTTCTAAGAATGAAGCCAATAGAAATTTAGTTTATTTAGGAACAAATTTTGGTCAAAGTATTACATGTAAGTGCACAAATTATGGTGACTCATAGGTACATGTACATGTATACCATTGAGCTGCACAAGTTGGGATTTTTTGGTTTTGTTTTTTGTGTTTTGTTTTAGGATTAGCATGGCTGTAAAGCTGCATCCTTAGACTCAGGATTGACTGATCTGTGTAGCAAAGCAAGGAAACTTGTGGAGGCCTCAGGCAAGATGGCTATGCGTGAGTTGGTGGATGGGGAATGCGGGACAGCTAATCCATTGATGAGGCTGACGCAGCATTATTCCCAGGATAAATCACTTCGGCAGGAGGGGTTGAGGGGGGCAGCCAGCCGGCCCTTTGACCCAGCCGCAGCAGCACGGGGCTTCCTTGATACACCGGAAAATGATGTAAGCTGTTAAGTATTTGTAACCCAACATAACAAAATGAGTAGCAAGTCACTAGAACCACTTTGGAGAACCCCAAACTCACTACAGACTACATGGCCAATTCGTCAGGCTGCCAATTAAGTCATGCATGAAAACAAAGAGCTCCTTTGGGTCTTTCTAATGCAAACTAAAACAAAATCACACCTTGAGACTCCTGATCCAGCTATATTTGGGCATGTGTTTTTAGTATTTGGATAATTCAATAATGAATTTCAAAGGTTTGATGTTAAATAGCTGCCATAACTGCATGTACATTGTATCTTGATGCATATGTAGACATGTGCATACCACACTGTGATCCTGGGATCGTTTAGTGAAAAAAAGGATCATTAGAACCCAAAATACATAGAGTTCCACATACAGACATCACTATTTTTCCCTTGAAGCGGTTTATAAGCCATCAGAAAGTGACAACATGTCCCAAAAAATCAAATTTAGCAGGGAAAATATTGAAAATTTACTGAGAAAACACTCGGACAAGTCTTGTAGGATTTGTGCACAGGGTGTAAAGTGATGTCCAGATACGGAACTCTTTCCCAAAAAATAATTTTAAAGAATTGTCCGTCACTTCTTAATAATCATGAGTTGTCTTTAGATAGTTTTTGTATTCCAGCTTTGGATGAGGGGAAACTAGGCAAGGAGAGTAAAGTTTTGAATGTTTGAAAAGATTTGCTGCTTGTCCTAAGAAAGAAATCAACTAGTCAAGAAGAACAAGTTAAATCCTATGGCAGACCCCAATGTGACTGTAACAAGACTAGAAAAGGAAGGTAAGGATGTTGGTGTTTTACCGATCTGATCACTGTTTCGTTTGCTCCTACTGCAGCTTGTCAATGAGTTCATGGTGGACCAGCAACGGCACATGGGACCTCCCCAGACATTCCACATGGATGCCTTGCTACAAGAAATGCGAGCGATTGAAGAGTCTCACATACGACACCCACCCATACAAGGTGGGACCTCCATTTGTACTCTCATATCCTATATGTACAAATTGATTTCTGTTACAGCATAGTAAATATAGCGATGACAAAATATAAGTGTAATAGTAATAATAATTAGTTTTTGTATACATCACCAAATCCTCCTAATTTGATGTTCTAGGCACTTCACTTAATATCATTAAAACAAAATTGTGACAAAGTTCTATATAAATTAACAGTTAGCAATTTAAAACAAACTAAACCAATAAGAAACTCTAAGAGACATGCACAAATTCAACCAGCCAAGAATAAAAACATAAAATCTAAATTGAAGCCATTGCAATTCAAGTACATGTACAAGTTAGAAATGTAAATTCAAACAACAAACATGTAAACAAGAAAGACAGCAAGTTGATAGACACACAAAGATCACACATTAGGAACAAAACAGCCACACCAATGGGACTTGGACACACTCAGAGACATAAAACAATGAACAGATAAACAAACAAACAAATAACGGCGGACAAAATCAATCCAAATCGTTATGCATGCATGTAATGGGGGAAAAAAGACATAATGTCACTCCCCTGTAAATGGTTAGACACAGAAAACTTGTCACATGATTCTTTTTCCTCTCTTTGCCCCACAGCTCCTGGGGTTGCAGACCTAGCATCTCATTCTGAGTGGGCGGATGAGTTCCTGGTCTCTGAACAACGTCGAGCCGAGGAGATCGTGGATGACAGGGAGGCTGACTGGACCCGAGACTTTATAGCCAGCCAGGATGGTGCGGGTAGGAAAAGAAAACTGGCCGGCCGATTTACTTGCCAAGCGGACTTCAGCTCAGACCACGTTATCAGGCATTTGTATACGCACATCTCATGTTTCATTTTGTTCTACAGTGCCAAAAATCATGCTGATGGTGTAGTGGTCTGTTGAAATCAGAACGGTGTGCAAGCTTAAGAGAAAAAAGATTTGTACATGAAATTTTGATGTCATGAATTACATTTGTTCTTGGGATTCACTGAAATTCCATACCTTCAAAAAATGCTGCCCATCATTTATGAAGGCATGTGGCCTTGAAGCCAACTATGTAACAATTAATGAAAATTTTTCTGTCTTGAACTTGCAGTTGGCACAGATGTCATACCTTCGTCATCAGACACAAAGTGGGCACAGGAGTACTTGGAGCAATCTGAACATCAACTCTGGTTGGTGTGGGATGTCCCATTTAAAAGAGACAATCAAACAAATAAAAACACTCAACATATGTTTCAGGTGCATTCGTCCCAGGAAGAAGACTGCCGTTTTGAACCATACTTGATTAGATCATTGGTTTTGTTCTATTTCAGGACTGAGGAATTTACAAAACCAGAAGATGAAAAATGGTAAGAAATTATGAGCTTTCTGAAATGCATCCTGGCCTAACCCAACAAAATGTGTCCAAAGTCACTGGAGGTCCATATGAGTCATGGCCGTTATTGATTAATTGTGCTCAGTGGGAGTAAAAATGACTGAAGACTTTCAACATTTCCACCTACTAAATTGTTCATATTCATAACTTTGTCAACCTCACATTTGCTGGTACTCTTCCTTAATCTTCCAACGTTCTCTGATGTGTGGAAAAATTCAAACAATACTTTCAGTTTTGTCGCAGATCCAGCTCCTTCTTTGTAAAGTATTGGTGGATGGGATCCGACGTTAATCCTGACGATGTATTTAAAAGATCCCTGGGTGTGAGAGTTTGTGATAAAACGGTCCTTGAATTTTGGGGGTTTTTTGTCCTTGAAATATTGAAATTCACTGATGTTATTCCAGAGTCCAGCAAAATTTCTTTAATTTATATAATGGGTTTTGCTCTTGAAAAATTTCTTTACTTACCAATGTAGAACTTTTGTAATAACCTCTAGTTGTAATTTTGTCTGTTGCTGTCATACAGGGCCACAGAGTACCAGCAAGAGGCAGACTCGGACATTGCTAGGACAGCCAGTCAGCTCATGGGAACACTGGACGATCCCAAGTTTGCCAACACAGAGGTTAGAAGTGTTAGCTCATCCTGATGGGCTGTTACAAATACAGAGGGTGGAAAGACTGGATTCATTCCCATCAGAGCCATTGTTCTAATGCATATGTGTATAAATCTCATAGCTGCTTACATTGTTCACAACTAGTGTTACAGCGAGAACGGCATTTGGGCATTTTGGAAACTTTGTTTCGTTACACAAATGCATATAATTAAAAGCAGAAAACTGTAGCAAATTGGGCACCCTGATTTGCACTTCAAGGCAAGTGTAGACACCCTTTTTTCATATTCTGGCTAAAACTATATCCATAGCCATTTTTCTTGCCAGCAATTCACACATCATGCTCAAAGCTTCCCTTTCATTACTAATCTGATCATGTTTTATACCAAACAGTTATCAACAGTTATCAACCAAACCTAAGACTGTAATGCTTTGCTTGGAACCTTCCTGAATCACACTCACTCCATGCAGTGGCCTGGGAAGCATTCTTAACACTCATTAGACGTATTCCAGTATTCTCAATTCTTTCAAACCAAAGAACCTGGGGGCTTCTTGAAGCAGTCTTGCCAAAAATTTTATAGTGCCACGTCGCAGCGCAAGATGGGGAACTCTGTCAAAAAGATGTAATCAACCTGGGCACCATTCAAGCAAGCAATACACCTACGCAGTGGACGTTAATGCACACACGTACCAGGTGTGCGTGCCTGGCACTGCACCTGGGCATTGATATGCACAGCGCAGGCATGTTGCTTGCTCAAAAGTCGCCCAGGCAGGTACGACGTTTTACGTATATTCACTGCAAAGTTCTCCATCTGGTACTGCTTATGTGGTGCTATACGATCTCTGGTCTTGAGTCCTGTACTGAGAAAGATTTGTTTCTGGGTAGCTGATCTCATCAACCATGGAGACAGACTCTCCGAAGCGTGACTGACTCAAATTTTGAGACTTTTTCATCAGAATACATTTATGTATGGATCAAATCAGGTTTTTGTAGTTGGAAACTTAGTGTTGACGTTATTCAGTGTTGTCCAAGTGCATAGAACAAATGAAAAGAAAAACTATCAATGTGTATTCTCTGGCCACCTGTATTTGCTTTCAAAGGGCTACGTTATTTTGGATAGACAACCACAGAAGTATATGTGCAAACTGTCAGTTCAATACCTGGAATGAGTTGATGTGTGGGGCCTTGTTTTATACACCAAACAGGCTTAAGTTTGAGAACTCTGGCCTGCCGCTGTATAGAGTAGGTATTGCTAGCCAAAATACTACAGTGTCACGGGAGAAAGGGGTCAGGGTTAAGCTGCCTTTGTGGCTGTTGCCTGACTAGTGACACAGTAAGCACTGGTCTCGTGTTGATTCTTTGCACAACTCTTTGCATCCCGCAGTTTGTCAAATTTGTCAAGAAGCTGGGGGATGGGGAGGTGAAGATTGAAGGGAATGAGGTCAAGACTAAAGAGGGCGCTCCATACGACCCACTGGCCGAACAGTGGACGTCTGATTTCGTGAATGAGAAGGTATTAGCATTTTGATTGTGAAAGGCTGTCTTGATAACAAGTACCGTTCCAAGATGTGTGCTGTCAAGTGGGAAGAGGAAACATTGTTCACAGCTGTAGCCATGATTGTCGTCCTTATGCATGCTTATCAGTTTATATTCCTGTTTTGTCAGCTTGCATTGCTTCCATGCCTTTCTAGCTTCGTTGCTGTCATATGTGTGTTTTGTTTTGTGACATTTGATACTGATCTCTAATATTTTGAATCTAGACCACCAGATGGCACTCAAAAAATTCCACTTCGCTTGTAATTCACATTACTCTGCAATGCGAATACATGTAGAAATGCTTTTCCAAATGGAGATTGCTTACCATTGGTCATTGCTCATTGCAAATCGAAATCATTACATTCATTTTACACTGTGCATCAGTTTTTTCAGTTATTCCCGTTTTTCTTTCAAAAAGGAGCTTAAAATGGTCTGATCTGCCTGGTATGCAATGCTACTGGCAAGAAGAATGTTATACATCTTTCTCCCTTTTTTGTCAAAACTCAATTGTTGTTTCGGTCGGCGAAAATCAATATTTACACAACCAGAAGTGTTGTGTCGGGATCCTTTTCTGAGTCAGATACATGCACTGAAGTGATCAAGTAGAAATCAATTCAGAGAAATGGAATCGTAGGAGACTGAATACATGGGATTTTGATCATGGATATGGAAATGCAGATATGCAGAAGTTTTACTGATAATGTCCAAGTGCACTGTACATGTCTTGGTCAAAGGAATCAGACTGTGCCCGTACATGTATCTGTACCTAGCTGTGCATTCAGGCACAATTACTTATTCAAAGTTCCCATCACTGTCTTGATACTTACACCTGACACCAGACCACCTTGGAGACTCAGAAAATGGATAAACCACAACACATCTAGCCACGGCACTTGTTTGTATACATATACGGATTGCTACAGCCTAATATTAGCCGAAGAGATTCAAATCAGGTTCTATCAAACTTCCCTTTGCTTCCAGTCTCACTTGACCAATTTTTAGTCTCAGAATCTTGGATGTTTTGTAAATCTGTACAGCAACTCCTTTCGGACAACTGGGCCAAGGAATACACTGCAGAGAACACGGTGCCCTCAGATGCTGATTTCTGGGACCGACTCCAGAAGGAGTGGGAGGACATGGGACCCTCTGAGGACCACCCTTGGTTGTCAGAGTTCAGCGGGAGGCCCGTCAAAGAACCGGTACAGTACGGCAGCCAGGTTCCAAGACTCTGCTTCATTTGAATTGTACCAGAACACTGTGGGATGGTAGCTACCTGTTGTCTGAGTTGTAGGGAAGAAGTATTAGATATGGGATGTTCTTCATCAACATGTGTTTTGGACATTAATAATGGAATAAAATTGTGATGGGACAGTCTTAAACCAGTGTGTTTAAAACTGGCCCAGGACCTGGGAAAGATAATATGTGTAATCTCTAGCAAGTTTTAAACATACAAGTTAAAATCAGCCCTTAACACTTTTATTTCCATTCATAACTATCTTTTGGGGGGTGAAAACGGTTTTAAAATCACAAAAATTACTTTCTTCCCCTAGATTTTGTTCCTCAGTTTTTACTTCATGTCTTGTGAAACATCCCTATAGTATCATTGATGTTATGTGCCTCATAGGCACACCACTTAAAGCTCCTTCTATGGAAATTCAGACGCGATGCATGCTGCTTGATGTAATGTAGAATACAGCTGGGGGGGTGAACTGTAATGTCTGACTTCTTTGGTAGACTCATTGGTTGTACATCGCACATACTTGAGTGACAGTGATGATCCATGTATGACACTCATGTTAGACAGGCGTTCTGGGGTCTTGCCAAACCAAACCAAATAGAATTAAGAGCGACTCCGGCCTACCCAATTAAATTTTTGTTTCAGACAGCCCAACTTCACTGTATATATATACAGACCACACAAACCACATTCTAAAGACCAAACATTGACAAACAAAGTAGACAATTCTGTATCATCATTGGGTCAAGGTTGGTGATAAGGGCATGTCTGTCATTCACAACCCATTTCAGATACTCAGACCAGGTTGGAATCATTCATCTCAAACTCGTGTTTTGTTGGTGTGTTTATCTTTGTGTAGGAGTACAAGTTTGAGGATGAGAATCCCCTTTTGGATCATCCTAGTCCCTTTGAAGAGGGTCTCAATCGGCTGAAAGACGGAGACTTAGCTAATGCCATACTGCTCTTTGAAGCCGAAGTGAAGAAGAACCCAGATCATATGGAGGTAGGGGTGCTCATTCTCAGTGAATTGAACGGTGGAGCTCATGTGGTGTTTGAAGTAGAACTGGCTCTGTTGGACATTTCTTTCCAAAGTTTCTATGAATGATTTAGAATGCAGATTCCAATCTTTTTGACAAGCTCTTGAGCAGGACCAGGTGTACATTGCTCACAACATTACATCAGTCAACTCTAAGCATTACATATTATTGGAGTTGTAATGATTTGAGTCAATGACTTGACTCGAGTCCGACTTGAATCACAATTTTTGGCAACTCGACTTCAGACCCGATGGCTATTAAAATTGACTCAACTCAATTCCCTCGTCAGAGGACCATGCTCATTAAGTGAAAGTTGATAAGACTCGAGTTCCACAAATAAAAGCAAACTTCTTTGCACAAAAAATATTTCCTCGGACTTAGCATGCTGGTTGTAATGTTCACGTCATGGGTTCTTGTCATCAAGAGTAAGATATGGTGTGAATACATGTAGAAACCCAAATGTAAATATAAAAATGCCAAAATATGACTTTCTCTCTTGTTTTTATTCATTGTATTGTGTGACTTGATTCAAGCTAAATACTTGACTCGACTCAAGTCTATACGTTACAGTGACTCAACTGGACTCAAGTGTATATGTTACAATGACTCAACTGGACTCAAGTCTATACGTTACAATGACTCAACTTGACTTGAGTCACAAAAATCAGGGACTCATTACAACTCTGCTTGTTACTTGTAACATTACATGTTGTTGAGTTTGAAAAGCTCAACTTAATTTTGAATTTGATTTTTCCCAGGCATGGCAATACTTAGGAACAACTCAAGCAGAGAATGAACAGGAAAATGCCGCAATTGCAGCTCTCAGAAAGTAAGATTCTATTCTGTTCATGTTTTCCATCAATCAACTTTGCCATTCTTGGTCCAGACGTAGTTTTGCTTTCTTTGGATAACTAACAGCCTTTTAGCTGTGGCCCACATTTCTGCAGGTACCCCATGTTCATTGCCTTGGATAATTTGGTTTCAAAAGGTAGCACAGTCTATCTAAAGTAAGGTTCATTGTATAAATTAAAGGTCCAGGTTCATTTCATGTCTCTGTCACATCTGACATATGGTTTTGTAAGTTTAGAACATATGTTTAATTTCCAAAAGTAATGCATATATTACCTGTCAAACACAGAGAAATAGGGACACAAACTTTGAGTTTACAGAATAACCTTTAACTGTTTTATTCTTCCAGCAAACTTAACTCATCATCGTTTTTTATTTCACAGCAGCGTAGTGTTAGTCTGATATTATCTTTTTATTATTCCATTAGTTTTATTTCAAACACTCGTAATCCGAAGGCCGAATTGCAGTTTGATGTACAAATCTGATTCATCAAAATAAACCACATGCACAATAACACATCATATAAAACATTTAAATTAAAATAACATAAAAAATACATATATATAAAAACCAAAAGAGAAAATTAATAACATTCCAGAACAATTGATAGAGAAACATAAATAAACAAATAATATGAAGTTTTTAACCAGCATCCAATGATTTAACTTTCATTTAGTAACTTCTCAAAGTAGGGGATGATATTTTTAGGGTATCTGTTAACTTTTGTTTTAGATTCGATGAAATGTTGTCTTTACCTTCAAGGAGGAACCAACAATTAAAACGATCAGAGGCATATGTTTTGGCAAATTGTAAACAGACATATTCCCGTCTGTTAGCCAAGGTTTTAATATTAAAACATGTCAATTTCTGATCATAAGTCTAGTAGTCACGGTCCATGATTATTTTTTAGGCCATTTTCTGGAATGCTTTAATACAAAATGATTGGTTTGAAGTAAGATGAGGTTTCCACACGAGGGCAACATATTCTACATGTAATATAGGAGAAACGTAAGTTTTTAATGTCGTTACGAGATCATTTCTGGGACGGCTAATGATGTGGAGATGTCTTCTACTTTTGAAAGTCCTTTCTTGAACCTGGGTACTCCATTTAAGATCATTCTGGATCCAAACTCTTAACAACTTTGTTTCCACTATAACATCAAGAGTGTTATCACCAATCAATAAAGGAGGTGGGTTGAGGGGGGGTTTCCTAAAGTGAAAGTGCATGACTTTATACTTCGATTGGTAAAGCAAATTGTCAGGATTGTTTTGCAATGAAGACTCGCCATTGACTGAACTGACCTCACCCATACTGAGATCATCAATGCATGTCCATCTGTGTCCAGCAGAGTCAACACACAGGCATCATCAGTGGTGGCCCCAAAAAATAATAGGATCAAGCTGTTTCCCTTGTGGGACTCCACATGTAATTTGTTTCTTATTTGAAAGAGCAGAGCGAAAATGGACCCTCTGTTTGCACGAAAGAAAGCTAATGATCCATGGAACAATTGCAGATCTTACTCCGATAGAAATCAGTTAAGTTATAGCAACAGTATGGTCGACGCAGTGGAAAGCTTTGGAAAAGTCGGTCAATACTAAAGGTGCCAGTTGTTTTAGGTTGGTTACTACTTCTGTAAAAGACATTCAGCAAATCAACTACACAATATGTAGTGGATGATTCACCAAGACTACCAGACTGGCTGTGAACGAGATTTTTAGCAGTATCAAAAAGCAACCATCTTGGGATAAAAGTTTCGACAATTTTGGAAAATTGTGATGTACGTGATAGTCTCAGTTTGTCAGTGCTGGAAATTTTTTGGATATTGACACAATGTTAGCATCTCCCCAGTCCTGTTGAACCATTCCTTCCTTAAGAGACAAGTTAACAATATCTGTATTTGGAGAACTCAATTCTTATGAAAACTTCTTTTTGATCTTATTTGGAATGTGATCAGTTGATTTGGTCATACTAATTGTTCATAATTTGTGATATGTTTCCCATTCACAGTCTTGAAGTGGTCAATTAGCTGGGAGGAATGCTGGCAAGTCACTCCTATTAATATGAGGCTTACTTTGAACTGTACAAGTACAAAATTAATGCTAATTTTTTCTTCAATAGCAAAGTCATCCCACACCATACACTTGGAACATGTACTGTGAGATCTGGTTGTACATGGAGGTGGTTAGCTACTAGCAGCTGGATGGCTCTGATGATTTAAAGAGCACCTCTAAGGAAAGCGTGTTTTCTCTGATTTTATCTGTTCAAATAAATATGGAAGCATCCAAATCAAATGCAGTGTCATTTGTCTTCAGAGCTCAACTATAACAAGGTAAAAAAAGGGTTTTGTTTCTGTTCATGCCAAGATGAGTATGCTGAATGTAGATTGTGTCATCCGGAGAAAACGAGGGGAACCCTCGCCCTGTGTTCCTAGTGGATAAACCCTTTGTGCATGCCAAGCAATGCATGTAGCCATTGTTTGCCGGTAGCCATTGTTTACACGCACAAGAGTTTATCTACTACAAACACAGGGCAAGGGTTCCCCTCATTTTCTTTGTTTTCTACGAATGACGCAATCAACATTCAGAATTTGCATCTTGGCATGAACAAAAAAGCCCTTTTTTAGCTTGTTATAGTTGAGCTCTGAAGACAAACGACACTGCGTTCGATTTGGATGCTTCCATGTTTATTTGAACAGCAAATGTCAGAGAAAACATGTTTTCCTTACAGGTGCTCTTTCAGATTCTGCAGTCTATCAGAGTGACAAAATTATTTTGCCTTACCTATCTTGTCTTTGAACAAGCTTCTTTTAAAAGACCATTTTTTTCCCCTTTACATAAGAAACTCGTTTAACGATCAATGACTTGATGGTTGGGCTAATCCATGGCTTATCCTTGCTATGTGATGTAATTTTCTTTGTAGGAAGAAGCTTATTTAAGGCTACATTTTAAGTCTGATAAAAAGCTGTAGATTGAAAGTTTGTATCTGGTACAGTCAGATATCTTTGCAGGGTCACTCTCTTTTCCTGCGTTCTTTTTAATTCTGCTTGCTAGAAGATGAATTTGCAATCCTCGTGGAATGCAAAAAGTATTATGCATCTAGAATTCCATTCTTCCAAGTGACAGTAGCCCACTACACACAGCCTCTGTGTATCATGAAACACAGTTCAGTATCATGTTATTTCAGCGTTGTGAATAGCAATGCCTCTGGGAATCATTACACCCCTCCAAACCTTTTTGCTAGGTTTTGAAGGACCTGGGGGCATTGGGGGTTGGAATGATGACTCACATTCAAACTTTGCATCTGGTTCCCTGCAGATGCATTGAGCTGAAGCCAGACAACCTGACAGCCTTGATGAGTCTTGCAGTCAGCTACACCAACGAGTGCATGCAGAACAGGGCCCTGGAAACACTGCTGGACTGGCTGGGGGCCAACCCAAAGTACAAGCATCTGATTGGGGACGAGGCCAAAGGGGCTGAGAGTAGGATAGATGCAAAGACATCATCGTTTCTGTCAAGGTGATTTATGAACATCTGGTTACTAATTAACGTCCATGGCTTAAACCAGATGGCTGTATAGAGCAGTGAGTATGTCAGGCCAGAATCACACACTCGTCCAACTCTGACTTCTCATCATTTAAGCAACTCAGTTTTTGAGTGTCACTACCCTTTGCATTGAGGTTACTGGGCCGAGGGACATGTACATTTAGTACCCCCTTTTCTTGGCACTCACAGGCTGGGGGGGGGGGAGAACTAGACACGAATGACTGAATTATGACAGCCCATATTTCTGTTTGTTGTTTCTAGTCAAGTTTTGAGTATATAATGCCTGATTTGGCATTGTACTTTGGCTATTACATTCATACGTGTGCATTATCCTGTTTATGACAATGCAGAGTTCATGCACTATACGGTCCTCATGAGGTATTTTGCAAACAGCGCCCTCAGTAGTTCATGCTCAAGCCCTATTATTAGTAACAGGGTTTTACCGCCAATTCAATTGTCCACACCAGTGCCTTGCATGGCCACGTCAAGGACCTGTTTATACAGACCGCTCGCATTTCCCCTAATGACGTGGATGCTGATGTGCAGTGTGGACTTGGCGTTCTTTTCAACCTGTCACAAGAATATGACAAGGCTGTGGATTGTTTCAAAGCTGCTCTGTCGGTCAGCCCAAAGGTAAGTGGTTTGAAAGTAAACTTCTAGACTCTAAGAATTGAGAAAAATACAATTTGGGGTGGGATACGAGTAATAAAGATGGACTTTGTATTTGAGAACTTAAACACAAATTTGGCCAGTCTGTGGTTGTGACTTGACATGCTTTATTGCAAGGCCGTTGAAAAGATCAAAGGCTTAGTAAGGTGGGATTCAAACCAAAATCTCTTTACAAATAGTAACCAAGCTTGAGGGATGAGATTGGAGGAAAGTGAAATATCCTCAAAATAACCAGAGATTTTGAGGGTCCAGAGCAGCATAAGGTCTATGGTATGCATAGGTGTTTGGCTAAAGACACCCCTAGGTTAAAATGCCGCTGTGAAAAACTCAAGATTTGCCAGATTTTAAAAAAGATTGTTTTAAACGTGAAATGAGAAGTATTCTGATGAACTCAAATTCTAAAATTGGGAAATATCTTGGCAAATGTCACCCCTAAAGTTTGCAGAGGTTGGTTGACAACTTTGGGAATTGCAGTCTGAATCACACTGTAAAGGGGTCATTCATGGAAGGGAATCACAAGATCTGACTGCATTTTACCTGGGGATTTGAGAACTTGAATATTGATATGTAATCACCTTTTTTTATGACACAATATACAAGGGGGCATTAACGATTACATTTTGTTCTTTTTCTAGAAGACAAGAAGTAAATTTTGCCGGCTGGTTTTGCCAGCAATTCAAACCAGAGTGTTTTTACAGTACAGAATTCAGTGCTTTGTTAAGATGCCATGTCCCTCTTCCAATCTCAGGATGCCCTGTTGTGGAACAAGCTTGGAGCCACACTAGCCAATGGCAACCGTAGCGAGGAAGCCGTGGATGCCTACCACCGTGCTCTTCAACTGTACCCAGGCTTTGTCCGATCCCGCTACAACCTTGGCATTAGCTGCATCAACCTGGGAGCTCACAAGTAAGTCTTGGAGACAGGGATTGGACTGCACCCTTCCCCTCAAAAAAACAAAAATCTGAAAATTTAATTCAGGCAGTTTTTACCCCTTCCCCATGCAAAAAAGAGATAGATCAAGAATTGTTGTTTTCAAGTCTTTGCTTATGTACTTAGAGACCTCCTTTCTTGAAAAACTATACTTCCTCAACTGTAGAGATGTAGCTTACACCACTCTGAGCCTACACATTAGCAAAAGAGTTTATAGTGGATGGAGGTTTCAATGGTGTCATTGGTTTTCAAGGTCACACTTTTTACACTTTTATACTAACACATTACACTACACAATTAGCGCCAACAGTCCAAACTTCTCCAATTTCAATCTGATTTTACATGCACCCCACAGAGTTAATGTTACTCCCTAGGACTTTCTGTTAGAATCAACCCCAATCTTACAAATGCTCCAACTGTCTGCATATAAAATACTGGATACAGCCCAGTCCTCAAAATTCCTTCATGATTTCTGGAATGTGTTCCTTAGAAGTGTGACCAGTGCCTCAATCCTTCAAAATCCATTGGAAATAAACTGTTGAGGCAGTGTGAATGACATTGTGGAGGAGTGTGGATGATTTCCAACCATAATCTGTGCCTGTATGTGAGACTAAGCATAAACAAGATAAGATCCACCCACAACCTTTACACATTTACATCCCGCAAAATCAGCAACATTTTGCTGTCCGACCCAGTCCATTGGAAATCTTCACTTACACCAGGAGGATTTTGAAGGATGTGGGTAGATTGTGGCCAGCCTTGAAAACTAGCTACAGTTGTGGCAGTTGAGACAGATGCCAGACTACTTCTGCTGAGCCAGTCCTTTAGGGCTATGAATCTACTGACAAGGAGAATTTAAAAAATCTGTGGAAACTAAGCATAGGGTTTGAATGGAAAAAAAATAAATATAACGACCTTCGCAAGGTTTGAAAGTCAGGTATTATGTTGAATGTATTAAAGAGACACTGCAACATCGTGAATTCAAAACCTCATGTTTATCGCAGATGCTTAATATGCAATGTTTTTACCATAGCATTTAGAAGTGGATCATGACTGCTGTCATTTTAGGTACTTCATATAGAAGTGCGCCATAATGTGAGGAAAACCAAAGGCTTAGGCCTAGGCTATACGCTGTGCTACTATCATGCCAACTAAAATAATTCAATTTTTTAAGTTCAGCACGGCAATAGCACGGCGTTCGGGGCATTTCAGCTGAGCAAATTGAATTCAGCAGGGCAAGCCTGTTAGCTCGACAGGGTATGCCGTGCGATCGGTATTTTGAATGATAGTGACACGACACTGCTCTATTTAAGTTGGCATTTAGCACAATTGCTGCGCTATTACCATGCTATTGCCACACTCATTTTAATTAAGTTCAGCACAGCAGTAGCAGGGCGTCTAGTCTTGGCCTTACGTTTCAAAGTCCTCACTTCCACTTTGACATATACTTTTGTACCACTTCACCTTTTAGAGAGGCCATTGAGCACTTCCTAATGGCACTCAACATGCAGCAGCGTGGCATTGGTCCTCAAGGGGAGAGATCAGCTATGTCACAGAACATCTGGAGCACCCTACGCATGACCATCTCCCTCCTGGGCAGAACCGACCTCTACAAAGCTGCCGATGAGCACAATCTGGCCCTGCTCAACAGCGAGTTCAATGTGACACCCGCCGCCACATGACTTGGAACTATATACCACTCTGGCCATTACCCCAGGCAGACCAACTGCTTAAAGTGCCGTAATGCTGTCTGTATCAAAATTCCAGGCATGGCACTCTGGTGGTAGTATTTTTAAGAGGGCATTGATTGTTATTAAAATTCTATTTTTTGAGAACTGAAAAGCAGTGTGGAATGATCCATCTTGTAGTGATCACTGTTGGGCTGATTTGATATAGGACTTGCTCTTAATTGATAAAATCAAGTATACATTGGTCTATAGATCATTTTAATACCTCAAAGATCTTGTTGTTGTCCAAGGTTCCCAGTGGGACATTTTTGAGACGCTTGGTGGTGGCAAATACCCGGGTCCCACATGATCAGTCCACTATCAGTTGCACCAGTTTGAGCATGGGCAACATTTAGCTCAGCGCTGATGCAAACAATAGTCGACTGGTCACATAGGGTGGATTGGGGCCAGTCTGTTTGCCTCCATCAACGGTCTCAAAAGTCTGCCACTGGAATCATTACTATCCCCACCAGGAGAATACCTCACAACAGTGGCAAGGTTTTAGTATTCTGTTGGGTAGTATGTCTGATAATGACCAAATGATCAATATTTAATTAAACACTTCAAAGTTGCAGTAACGAGGTACACAGTTTTCCTGGTTTCATGATGCTGAACTATATATATGTATGTATGCTCTTAAGGGGAGATTGCAGTTCAAGCGGAAAATTATAGCCAGATAAGTCTTTTTCAAGTGCCCGTCTTTGCACATCAGATTTACACCCATCCTCACATGCACTCAACTTCATTAGACTGTAGACAGCATAGAAGCTATCAACATCAGCATCTCAAGACTACCTGTCATTTCACAGATAACCCAGCATATTGATACTTACAATCCTTGGTTTCAGTTGACAAACCATAATGTGGTGCGTCCATGCACAGGTGCTGAAGGCCAGATTCTTGCTTTGATTTCCTACATTTTTGCAAATTAATTAATTTTATGCCTGAAAAAATATTAGTGAAATAATTGGTTGTATATTTTGAAACAAGACGCTGTTCCGCTTGATCAGGGTACATGTAATTCTGCCATACTTGAATTGAGGCAAACTTTAAATCTTTCAATACGGCACCTTCCATATGTCACTTGAGTATTTTTGCTAGGATCAGTAATGCAAAGCTGAGGAGTATCTTGATGAGTAGTGTAGTATTGCTTACTCAAATAAGATAAATAAACATTGGACAATTTAATTCGGTGCTTCCGAAAGCGGATCTTAATCTCCATCATACAAAGGTTACCAACGAACCACTAAATGCGACAATAGGGTGTAAAACTCAATGTGATTGATTCACAGTCTGCCCAAACATAAGAGTTCTCATTCTGTGTCATTTCACTTTATAGAGTTCATTGTATTCGTTACTCTAGATTCATCAGGCAGTCATGCAAATTCAGTACGACATGTTGCAGAGACATTTAAACAAGACAAAAAATCTAGAATCAATCCATTAGCACTTCCTCTCAGACTGTATGCAACTGAGGTCCTTCAGTTGCTTACAAACAGCATTTCTTATAATAAAATTATATAACACTTGAAAGTCTGCAACATGGGAAAAGCTCCCTGTATCATTCAAATTTCTTAGTTTTATATCAATGTATATGGTGAACAGCTACATGCATGTAGTCGGACCCACAATACCGATACAATTACTCTTATGCCAATTTGCAATGGATTGTTTTATTCACTGAGGAAAACAAGAAAGGGTGTACAGATATGTATAATAAATTTATGCGTTTGCATTGTTGATTTCAGTATTTGTGTTTCCGTCTTGCAATTTCTAGGATTAGTCCTTTTCAAACATGAGACTGGAACCTATTGATTTCTGATGCCTTTGAGAGGCTTGTTAATAAGTACTTGAATGTACCTGACCCAACCTCACAAAATGAGTCGAATGTCAGCAGATTGATATTTTGTGCACAAAATAAGTCAACATGAACCTTTAACATTTGTCACTCACATGGTGTCCACGTTCATGTGCACGCCAAGTGTCACACCGAAACAAAGAGCTCAGTTTGCTCCTTCCAATGCAAACTAAAAACACTTCTAAAGAAAAGGGTTTATGACTCATTTTGAAAGATCTGGTCACAGTCCTGGTCACACTGTACACATGTACAGTACATGTTAATGTGAAGGTGCACTGCACCCCAGCCTTCGCTATTTGTAAACATTTCTAAAAAAAAAATAAATTTTTACGTAAATCCTGTTTCCATACAAATGTCACCTGATGCTATGCCACCATATGGAATCGTCTTGTTGGGGACTTTCACAAGTGACACGGTGACCGCAATGAGTTGACAGAGTAGGCCCATACAAACAAGCACTCTAGCATGACAGGCATACAATGATGTCTTTCTTACTTTAATAGTGCTATGCAGTTTGCCACTTTTCTCCAAAGTACTAAAAAATGACACCGAATCATCAACAAAACTAACCGTTAAAATAAACTGGAATATCAGTTTGGCTTCAGGAGGCTATCACCACTTTAAAAAAATGCATTTCACTCGAAAACTCTGTGTTTCTGATGTCATTTAATTTATTTTTTTTTTGGAAGAATGACATCACACACCATCTCTTCCAAGACTTCCTACATCTTGGGTGTCACTGGCATTCCTTACAATCATATGCAAACTAGGCTTAAATATAAAAGGTAACCTGGACTTTGACTTTTAAGGAGCAAACTCAGCACACCACTTTTTCAAGCCACAAGGCAAACGATAAGCCGTGTCTAACCTGGGCTTCCATGGCTACAGTTGTCATAAGGACTTGTCCATGTACAGTATTTGCTGTGGTATAGACTTGCAGACCTACATGTAGCCCTAGCCACATGATTTGGACACAGCTTGACCCTGTACTTGACTCACAATGCACCCCAACAACTAGGCACAGCACAGACAAAATTCAAGTCCTGGACAATGTTTCACCAGCCAGTTTGCTGCAGCCTATGGATGATTGGCTCAGCTTCGTGGCTGATGAGTCACGTGATATTCTGTAATCAATTCTGCCACACGTCAGCATCTGGGAACCTCTGTTTCAGTTTCTTGATTTGGTCGTTACGACGTCGCTTTTCTCTCTTCCTGTTTACTTGCTCCTTCTCCATCCACAGCGTCAGGTACTTCTTGACAAATGGCCTGTAGCGATATCGCTTCCTGTGATACTGCAAGGCATTGATACAAAATACCGTACCAGTTAAAACCAAACTCCCTGTGGGCATTTCTGACGTGACAGCAGGTTTGCCCCTTGGGACAAATCAGACAGAAAACAAGGTATTGACAAACATGAATGTCCCACCACTATGACTGCATGCACACACATGCCCACATGTATGTTAACTTCTCAATGAGCACATTCCTTTATTTAAGTCCAATTAAGAAATCCTGGTGAAAGCACTCATTTTCTTACACTATGAACTTTCTATGAAGCTGGATTTTTGTTGTTTTCTTAAACAGTTCCTCTTCCAATTTCTAAAGATACTCTTAATAAAAAAAATGCCTTTAAAACTGTCTTCCAGAAAGAGGGTGACCTTGTGTGGACCTGGCTCAGTCCACACAAGGTGCTCACAACTTTAATTATGTGGACCTCTTTTGTTCATGGGTTCACATTAGCTATGCAGAGTTGGCACACAGAAGCAAGCCATGAACAGACATGATTTTATAATTGGGCTGGAAAGCAAGAAGGTTTCAAACCAAAAGATCAATGTCACCTGACTGGATTAAAGATTTGATTGGATCAAAATTTCCACACAAAGAAACAAAACTACAAACACAGAAGTCAAACTTAATGGTGGCCTGCTGGCCAAATGCCACAGAAAACTTAATCGGCCAATCATATATGTATATTCCAACGATGACAGCCCAGCAGGACAATGTTTCAGTTGAGGTACATGTACAGAACCACGTCTTCAACATTCTTATTACTTTTTATTGCCTGATTTCCTATCCATCATACAATTTCACATTGCTTCAGCCCACTTGAAAATCACCAGGCACTTTTGCCATGCCACACGCAAACAGTGACATTGTGTAGAGCGTTTAACTTCATGTTCCTGAACATGTATGTACACGAGTATGGTGTGAGTACTTGTAACAGAATTCTGGTAATTAAAAACAGAAAGAGAGAAGTTGCATGAATGGTTTTGAGAAGTTTGATCCCAAGCAATGGCTTCAATCACACATGGACTGAACCTATCTGCCTGGCACATCCTGACATCACATACAATTGATCACACACGTACTGGGGTAGTTATGTACAATGAATTTGCACACACCATCTTCGGCAAATTTTCAAATACTGGAGGCTCTGAAAGTCATTTTGATTTGATAGATATTCGATGCAAGAGTTTATATGACTTGGAATTGCACACTGTGACATACCGCCTCATGATTTTTACAAACTGTCAAAACATGTCAGTGTGCATGTCGGAAATCTGGCCAAAATTCCTTTTCTAAAATTTTCTGAAAACAACATTTGTAAAGCAATGAAGTAAAAAAAATTTCTGAAAACAACATTTGTAAAGTAATAAGCTCACACTTTAATTTTCAAAACACAACCAGCCAGAAAATATAGCACTGGAGACCAATAAAAAGAGGTACGTTTTGATTTGCAGTGATCCAGAACTAGAACAAATCAGGAACTAGAAAAATGACAATATACCGAGTACATGACCGGGGCCATCAAATTTTGGGAGGGTGAGTGCCTTTTTCCTCCACCAGCCCTGCTGGCCTCAAAGAAACTCAAACTAATTTGATCCCAGAAACAGTGTTGATAAAACAAATTGTGGAGTTCCACATCTACATTCCTCCCCCCCCCAAAAAAAAGAGCTGTGCCAACCAGCCAACCAGAAAATCAGTCACTGTGTTTGACGGATGAAACTTACCCGTTTGTTAGCATAAATGGGCAGGAAATGCTCTTTTGGCTTGATGTAGCGCAGGTAACCAAATGGTGTATACACCATCTTGCCTGGATGCTCCTCGGGTTGACCAGTCCTCAGCTCCGTCAGGGCCTCGTTCCTCTCATGAACCACCTGCTGCAACTTCCTCATTGACACACTGACCTGTGTCACAGATATCAAGGGGAAACTACATATACCTAGTTACAGCACCACTAGTCAGTGTTGGGCGGGTTCCCTGGCATATCAATTAGTAATATGGCAGGTGCATGTAACTGTTGTACACCAAAATAAAGTATAATGTAATGGCTCAGATGCCCCTTCTATTTTTAGATGCAGTGCATGCACTTCTCTGAATTCTTTTTAAAAAGTCACTTTATTGGGACTTATTATCAATATGCATTAAAAATAACAAGAAAAATAGATTTTTTTATGACGCAGTCACGCAAGTGGGGAAATCAACAAAGAAAAACAATTCATATATGGCCACCATTCAAAGACTATGTACAGGGCAGTACCTGAAATCAACAAATGGGTTCCGAAAATTTGAACCAGTTTTGGAAAAATCTCCCATTTTAGTTACGTTAATGTGGTGGCCACCAGATCGAAAGATCAGTCAAAATTGTGGGAAGATTGTTGGTATGGAAGCAGACCATACTACAGTAGCGTAGTGAATGAGCGTTGCCTCATGAGGGTGCCATACAGCCCGCTCTTGTCAGCTTGTTGAAGATAACAGGCTGACCCCTGTGTCAATTAGGTCAAACGATTACTGACCCAACATGGACAAATTAGAGCAAACAATGTGCATCCTGAACCACTGTAAAAAAAAAATGCACAGGTGGAAACACTACTGGCATCAAAAATGCTTTGCTGTTCCACACAACAGTTCACCCGAAGAATAATTTGGCATTTTAATCCTCTCTGTTCACTACAAATGTACCTGGATTATCTCATGTTACATCACACACACTTCCAGACCCTGAAGCCATCATATCTAGGATCTCATGAATGTGTACTTGGGGCTTATGATCTCATGATCAATAATGTGCAAAACAATTACAATATTTGGTAACGAAAGTATGACCCTTAAATGACTACAATCATCCATCAGGCTTGCTGCTCCTATATTGTACAAGACTCCACAAGGAGATGACGCCCTGTGAGCCTACCTTCCACAGCCGGTCGGAGCCAGGCATCCTCTTATTCTGTTTCTCTGCCTCTCTCTCCATGGTCAAAAGCATGTTCTTCTCCTTCAGCAAAACAAACCTTAGAATTGCGACACATAAAAACAAAATCACAAGGTGGCAGTGGAATCACCTGACTCTGAGCATGTCTTGATGTCCATAATATACGTCTTCATTGCAAAAAGTACAGATGTGGAGTTTGAGTCTGAGTCTTCTGTGCTGAATGAGATTCAGAGTCAAATATATTTGAGATAGAGTGTGAGCAGCCGACTCCAGGTACAAAGGCCCAGACAATGCCTAAGACTTTGCACTTAGCTCATGCCAAGTCTGAGGTCGAGCACCAACCACAAACATTACATGTAAATCCAACTACATGTACATGTAGTATTGGGTCTAAAATCTGACTACAAGCTCCAAAGCACTGATTAAGAGTCAGAGTCTCCAGTCTGGGCTGAAGTTTCAAATCGGTGGCGTCATGGCTGTGAGTGGAAGTCACTGGTGTTCGTCAGAGTACATGTATCTGGCAGGAAATGTGACATTCACAGACTAGTCTGAGCTTTCAATGCCAAATGCAAGTGTGGGTGTTCATGTGTTACATAATATGGAGTCAGTGTCAGATTTGGAACTCAGAACAAAAAAAGGCACAGTTCAAAACTGAATATGCACAGTAGGCAGGGTGTGTAAACATTCTTATGAAGATGACAAATTCACATTTCCTGATGCCAAAGACAGATTTCAAAATTGATCTTACCACAATTTGTGCAGCGTTAGATTGTCTTTTAACCTCAGTTCATCAGCACTCCATGGTCTACCTGTGTAACAGACATGTACGTACCCAAAGGAGAAATCATAGGAACTAATTTCTTTTATTTTGAACTAAACAAAGCCTACATAAAAGCTTAAGTCTAATCCACAAGTAAACATGTAAGCATTACAAGTGTGATTGTGTGGATGTGAGTAACCAAAACAATGACTAAACAAGGGTTGTTACAGCAGGATCTCCACACAGACAAACTGACCTGATTTCACATTAGGCTCTCCGTATGTTTTAGGATCGTCAAAGAATTCCTCCAAGCCAAGATAGGACCAACTGGTGTGGAAGCCTTGTGATTGGTCAGTTTTACATAACCAGGAATTGGATAGATTGGCTGCATGTCTGAAACTCAGCTGCTGTGAGAAAGTCCTCTGTGGTGTGTTTTGATTTGAAGCTCTGCAAATAGAATGGGGAAAACAGTATCACAGATATAAGGAGAAACTTAAAGGCCACTTAAGTATTTAGAAATATGAGGTGGGTCACACAGGAGTTTGTGTGCAGGTGTACAGTGTGGTGGTACAGGTATTTCCGGGAGTGCACATTGAAGCTACCACCACTGTAAGGACCTCTGTATTATTTTGATGATGTGCTTTCCTGTTAATGTTAATGAAAAACACTTCACTAAACAAGTGAAGATAACATTTCAAAACCATAATTAATTTAACTTAACAATATTTGAGGTGCTGAGTTCGCAAGGTGCCGGTAAAAAATGTTGCATCCTGACTCCACTTCAGCAGTTGTGTACAAAGTCAATGGCCCATAGGTAGTGACGAGAGAGATCTTGAATGGTCTAAGTATTTCCCAACAACATCAGTAAATGTTTCTCAGTCCAGAATTCGTGTCTTTCAGCATTTCTGTAATGATTGACTTTTATTGAGATGATATATGATGAGAAAAATGGAGTCAGGATGCAACATTTTAGCCGGTGCCGAGTTGGCAAGGTGCCGAAATGACCTAGTGTGACGTGTGCTACAGACTAGTGCACCAATCTGCCAATTTGAATCACATAACATTTCTTACCTATAAAAAATTCTGTTGTAAATACATCTATACTGCAGCTGTGCGGCAAAGGGGATACTTGTAGAAATGTGACACTTAGAAAAAATTCCCCTCAGGAAAGAAAGCTGATCAAAACTTTTTGCTGCGAAAAAATTGCGGTATGCCATGCAGGCTGCCATCTTTGAACAGAGGTACATGTACACACCACAGAGCTCCACGCGTACGATACGTACACATACGAACATGCTTTCAGGCAAGCATTACCATAGAGGGCGCTGTGCTAAGAGCCTGCGCAACCATAGACACAATAGGCGCAATATGTGGGCGCAACCGGAGGAGGCGAGGTATGAACATCATGGGCTATTTTGGAGGGTAAAATCCGGTCCAAGTTCCCCCCCTCCCAGAAAAACGCTGGGTGTCTTGTTGGTAGTTAGATGTTTTCTCAATGTCCTGATAGGAATTTTGTTACGGACTTCTTTCTGGGGGTGGCCATTTTATATTGCTGTACGGATGATTTCCCACATAAAGTCATCGGATACTGACCAGCATCAACTTATGTGCCACTCATAAAACCACTCACCGTTTTAAGTTTGATTTCTGTCTTTCAAATTTGTTAGATTTATGAACATTTCCAGGATTTTCTTGGAAGAAAGGGTATGTCACCTAAGCCAGTTTATATGGATCTCTAATCCAGGGGTCTGACTAGATTTAGGAAATGCGATATTGGGCACAACTATTGGACTTGTGACCTGCTGGTCCATCGTCACTTATTCGACGACACAGGGAAATGAATTATAGGTTTCCTTGCTCAGTTTGAAATAAATTGTCAATCCTAGGCAATGGTGCGTTGAGGGTTTGTTGTCCAGGGGCTAATGGTGATTTTCTTCAAAACCTATTGCCCATTAGACTTTTTCATACGTGAAAGAATCCCCAAAGAAAGTTCATACAGTTCTGTTTCTAAAATGTGGGTATTTTAAATTCCTATTATTGGTAATATTAAAGGCAATATTTCCCACGAGATGCAACCTGCCCACCATGCCTGGCTCCCGTCCGCTGGACACGCCACTGCTCAAACGAGCTTCATATTTTTTGCCTGAGCGCATACGAGAGGGAAAAATAAGCTTTGAGACAATGACATAATAGTCAACTGAAATCATACAAGAACAAAATTTCGACATTCGCACTTGAATTCAAAACACACTATCGAGTAAACTCAAATTTAAGGAAATTTGTACAGGCCCATGGCTTTCTGATCTTTAATAAAACTATTTTTTACCCTTACCTTTCTTATAAGTATAATGTTTAATTGCAATTCCAAAAAAAGGGTAAAATGTGTATCACAAATACCTTGCTCGTATCCGATGGGAACTGGGAGACGCTCAAAAAAAATTAATAGAACTAAACCGGTAGATAGCTTGTAATTTGAAAAAAATTAAGAAATTTATCTGAAGGCCAGGCGCATAGCATTATGGTGAAATGGTGTCTATCTGTGAAAATTAATGAAATTTGAAAAACCTACAAAAAATAAAATACTCGTAAAAGCGACGAAAAGCATAAAAGTCCAAGTTAAAACCTTTGTTTTCGTTGTGTTTTTATTATCATTATGTCAAAAATATTAGGCATGGTATTTGTCATTAATCAATGAATTATTCAATATTCTTTTCACTTCTTCTACATACATCTGCTTTCATTAGAATTTAAAGTTTTACAAACACAACATAATATTTACAAAAAAATAATCTATCAACCAGGAATAAGAGAAATCCGATTCAGTCGAAATAACAAAACAATGCTTTTCATTTAACTTATCTTAAACAGAAAAACTTTACGAGTTATCAGTTTTGCAGAAACTGGCCACGGACTCGCAACGCCTCGGTACCAACCGGCGGCCATACCGTGCCGAATACAAAGGCGATGCATTTTTAACTATTGATGCCACTAACGAGTTCAGTTAACAAGGGCAAGCAAGCTTCATAATACCCTTAGTGTTCTGCTCGATAAGACTGCTGCTAGTTACTTCAATGACTTGTGTGCTGTTAAACGTAAAACTGTTATACTGTCCTCTTTTTTCCTGTATCGATTATTCTTATTTTTAATTCTTATTTCTAATAGGCCTACTAAATAGTTTCTATTAAGGCCAAACCAGCACTATATCTAGTATGCGTGCTAAATTGAATGACTATTTGTTTTCTAAATTTGGCTTTTTTAGCAAATTTGAGCGCCTATAAACGAAACTATAGGCGTCGTGGGAATGTTGGAGAACCAAAGAATTACAAACTTACTTCAATGCGCACGTCATATGAAACAAACGGGAAAGTATTGGGGGAACTGTGATCAACAAAGACTAGGCAAGGACAGGCCCTTTTGTTTTATTCGCCTGCATGCTGGAACGTAGTACAGGTTAAAGCATCGCTATCATGGGGATCAATGTAGCCCTCCCTCACTATTCCGAGTGGGGGGGGGGGAGGTACTAAAGCAAACCCCCACATACACACCCACACACTTTTTCCAAAACCTAAATGAAAATGTAGCCAGAAATTGTCTCCGTCAGAGCATCTGTCATCCAAAATTTCGAGAATCCAAAGGATCTGAGCCAACGATTCCAGCAATACACGCTGTCTAGTAGTGCGGCTTGCTGTAACAGTCTTATCAGCGCACATAATCCATCGATCATGCGGTGGCTTTGCATGTTCAGTTTCTACGAAAATGCTTACATCTACAATAATGAGCGACATTATGAGTAACCTAATGGACTCCAATCCCCCTTGTGCAATTGGACTAACAGGTTAAGCATAGCAACCAGGTTTGGTCAACCTTGTGACTTCAAGGTCTGTCTTAATGAAATGAACCTGCTCTGAGAGTAAATATAATTATCAAAGTCACGCCAAGCACGAAGCACTCAGAAAAATTATTTGAGCTGTCTCTCGGCATCAGAGAGCCACTTATTCAATACCAGGCCTTTTTATGTGACAACGCTTGTGTCTAAAATGATTGTCACTTCCCTACTCAACAAATCCCTAGTGATTACCCTTGTAATATAAATAATGTACAGAAAACTGACAACATGCGGGAAGTGAATTATTTGTCGTCTGGTAGAGACAACAAAGTAGAGCACGCTAGATTGGCAATAGACATACGAGGCATGTCGTTAGCTTTCGATTCCAACAAACTTGTCACACACAATAGGTGCACACCCCATAGGATGTATGTAAATTCATTTTGAAATCGGAGTATTTGGGGCTGAACAAGCTAACTAAATACGAAAATCATAAGTAAAATGAGCTTAAGCGTGAATAGGGAATCCGTAAAGTGTGAGGTATCTTGAAGAATATTTATTTTCAATTCAAAATTTCCATAACCATAAATAATTAGTGGATGCATTCATGGGAAAGAATAACTTTTTGAGCATTACCGACAGATCTCAAGACTCTAATGGTTAATTTCTTCCACTACTAAAACAACCTAGCTATATAAATATAATAAGGTTTGATCCAATTTCCCCCCAAAAGAAAAGAGGACCCCTAATTAAACTATGCGTACCAATATTCTGGGTGCTGCCTCAGTTTAAATTATTTGAAAAATTAAACTGTCAAATGATTAGATATCGTCTGGTGAAGGTATAAAATTACTATATGAATGTTGACAGTTTTAAGAATAGGACAAATTATTACGTAGTTTTCTGGAGTGTGCCCATCTATCAAACTGAAATTGCCAGTACTATTGTTGTGTCTTAGAAGCATGGGCGTAAATCCTGGGGGATGGTATATATATCCCCCACACTTTGTGGGGGATGGATTATTGAATCACTTTTTGGTGAGCAAAAAAATTAACTTTTCAGACTTCCATCCACTAAAATGCGTTTAAAATCACTCAAAAATGGAAAAACACTTTAAAAAGCCATAAATATGCCCTTCTGAATACATATTACAGATGTATATCAATATCATGAACATCGACCTCTTTATAGAGTCATATGATGTCCCCACCTCCCCCCTAAAAAAAAATCCGGCACAGGTTTATGCCCCTGCTTAAGAGGTAGTCTTACGAGTGATAAGGCATTTTATTTTCATCGAGATCTAGAATGGTTTGAAATTATGCGTCCGATCGACAGAGAACTTTCTTCAGGCAAGAGCGGTAAGTTTTACGGAGCACCTGTCTGTGCTCCGCCTGGGAATAAGTCAGAAAAAGTGTGCCAAAGTACACCTGGACAATTGGACTCAAAGACAAGGCGAACATCTGGGTGAGAAAATGAGTTATCCCGAGGTTATTAACAAATATGAAAATATTGATGATGATGGGGTAGGGCAACCAACAGATCACAAACGAACCCAGGTACGTGCGTAGGTACGCGTTGGCTTTGCCTCTGTTGGGCACTCGGCCTGGCTGGGGCTGTGGTGCATGGTGACCCCTTGCAGTGCCCGCCTGCCGATCCTCAAGAGACCCGGCGCAGCCATTTCCTAAGGCCCTTGCCTCATCGTGTATTCGGCGTGCCTGCTTTCTGGCTATGCCGACCAGACAGATGCAAAAGACAGCTGTTAGCATTAGGCACGGGACAGTCAAAACGGTGGTGAATATGGCGTAGGACTCCAGGATGAGATGTTCATCAACAGCTTCTGGAGAGGTTTGCGTCGCGTCCCTGCTCCCGATGAATGGATCCGGATCTGTTCTTACGAGGGACGTAGCCAACTGCCAGATGAGCGCCGTAATGGTAAGAGTTGCCCAAGAGCCAGCGATTATGCAAGTGCATCTCCTTCTGGTAGTGAAGATGATATAGCGCATCGGTGAGGCAACCCGAAAATACCGGTCCGCGGCCACGATGAGAGAGCTGATGCAGTAGCTGCTAGTTGCCACGCCAAAAATGATAGTCACAACTCGAACTTCGACAGCTTTATCGGCAGAACCGAAGCCAGCAGCGAACATGCAGTGAACGAAAATGGCCACACTCAAAAGGAAATCTGACACGCACAGGTTGGCTAGGAAAAAGTTGGAACTATCATGCAGGCTGCGATTCCAAACTATCAACCCTACCACGCTCGCGTAAGTTATACCAGTGACCAGAAAAAACACAGGGCCAAAAACAACGTACGCAATCGAAATCTCCATCGTGTCACTCTTCCGAGTTGTTAATGTCAGAGACTGTGGAAGGGTTCACATTTGGAGAATTCTCTGCCTTGTAAAAACCTGTGCATCCCATAATTCGTTTTTCCCTATACAGAAGTCCTCGCTCTTCGCGATAAGTCGGTCTCGCCACATGATTACTGACATGATTAACTACCATACATCACCGTGCGTCAGCCTCTGATGTCAGTTACCATGACAACAGAAGAACTGATGAGCAGGCAAATTATAAGGATCCGCCCGGGTGCTCTTTGATGGAGACGATTTCATGAAGATGGTCTGACCATACTGATCAAACGTAAATTTCAACTCGAGGTTTTTTTTTCTGATACATTGCCCTAAAAAGGATAGGCCCTATAGTCCCATCGTGGTACCGTAAACCTCCCACCTGTTTGTTAAAGTTGAAGGGTTTCTGTACTGACTGGAAACATTTATTTCATGTTGGCGACTAAAATATATCCTAAAATACACCAATTCCATACATGGATAATGAAATTTTGCTTCATTATGAGAACCGACGTGTTGTCAACTCCCTGATAATTGCACATCGTCAAACTTATTACCCACATTTAGGAAAAATCAGCAACTCGCTTTTGGCTTTCCCTGTAACACAGCTTATGTCATTGAGAGGTCAAGCTGCCCCAGATAAGAAAATAGGTCAATTGGGAGACATTTTG